TGTTTCTTAGGGATATGGTGTAAGAAAAAGAATTTATTGCTGGTATTAAATGATATATTCCATTATATCCTTTTTGAGATTTCTTTATAACAGGCTCATTATATCATCTAAAAATTTCTAGTCACAAAAACTAAGAAGCTTAAACTTGATGTATAGCTGGCTGCTGCAAGAAATTGTGGGAATACATTCACTGAAGCAGAAGATCCTTAAGGAATCAGTAAACAAAAACTAAGTAAACTTAAACTTTCACCAAAAAGTTGTTAAGGGATATGTTCTTATGACAGGCAGGCTTGTAGTTGTGAAAATTTTTGCTTAATATGAACAACAATATCTATATTAGCATTATGATGTTCGGAAATAATTTTCAATCCCACACTTTCGATAAAGCAAACAGCTTTCAGAATGATATATAAAAAAGATGGAAATTAAGTAATGAAAAGGGATTTAATCAGATTTTGTAAACTAATAAATTATTTTTATTTACTACTTTAATTTAGGGTTTTGTTATAAATTTATGGGAGCTACAATTGAACAAGATTAGTTTATGATTTTAAGTACTTGCATCTGTCCTTAAAAAAAACCTGCTAAGGGTAGTGCTGATTAAAGGAATAGTGAAAGCATTAAATTTTACATTTGATGAAAGGCTGAGTAGATTTTCTGGTAGATAGATTCATAAGTAGGTCATAGTTGATAGATAGGTAGATATTGTGGTAGCTAAGTAAATCATGGATTATTGATAGGTATATAGATATTGTGGTAGATGGATAGAGAAATAGATGTGTGGTAGAAAGATAAGATATTGTGGTAGATGAATGGATAAGTAAAGTAAAACTAGATGACCGATAGATAGATATTGAGATATAGATATCTATTTTTATGCATTCTCCTTCTCTTCTTCTTCTCTCAGAAACTATTGAAAAGAATAGAATCTTCAGTTTTGTTTCTAAATGTTGTTTGTTTGTTTTTTGCTCTTTTTCTATCATTTCTTTTCTTGTTCTTTTCCTTGCTCCTTTTTCTCAGTATAGTACTATACTGAAAATCATTTCACTTGTGTCTACAGTAACAAAGACAACTTATGACATCAGTAACAGCATTAAGAAAGATAACAAGACGTTACAAACTGTTTCAGGCACCCCTAAGTGATGCCAATGCCACGGGGGGCTTCTTAGGCCTCAGTGCCGATACTAGCAAGGCCCACCTCGTCCGAGCCATGCTAGAGTCCCTCGCTTTCCGAATATACCAGATGTACAGCGCCATGCTTAAGGAAGCGGACTATGAACTACTGAGCTTAAGGTACGTTTTTGGTTTTGTTGTTGTTGTTGTTGTCTCTTTCTTTGTCTTCCTGTTTTCTTTATCTCTTTCTTTCTTTCTTTTTTCCTTTTTTCTTTTTTTTAAGGGGTAGGGTTAGTGATTGAGGATTGAGGATTTCTGTATTCTAGGATGTATGTTTCTGTATACTAGGATGTAGCTGTTTACTGACATAGGAAAATGTATGTGTGGGCATTGTATTGATTTTATCTTCTTTTTCCATTTCCTTTCTCTTTTTTATAGAAGGAAAAGAGTTATTAAAGAATATATTTTTTTTAGGGGAATTTATGTATATGTACCCTATATGTAGTATGGTGTGTGGGTATTTTGCTTATACTTTTCATCTCTCACAGTTTTCTAGAAGGACTACCAATTTGGAATAGTAGAAAATATAGATGCTTACTAAATGATGGGGTTTTATTAGTGCAAATGGTGACTGATGCTATGTAGTGTTTATTAGATTTAGCATTTTTATTTCATATTACAAGGACATATTGTACTAGATCTTTGCAGGGAAAGATTTTAGTTCTTGTGTTGTTCCTGTGAATCAGTTAATATTTATTTTTATTTTTTTGTGTGTAATTTTTTCTTTATTTTTTATTGCCCTTCTTAATTTTTTTCTCTTTATCTTTCCACTTTTCCATCAACTCCTCATGTTATTATTATTGTTCTTTCTTTCATTCTTGGACTCCTCATTCTTTTTCTTATATTTCTTTTTGCTCTCTGTCTTCTCAACAATTTCCCTTGTCCTTGCTTAACTCATTGGATCCGGATGTTTCAGTGCCATCACGTGGCCCAAAATATAGGCATTAGTCTTACATGAGCAGACACTCTGCCAGGTGGGCGGCATGAACACTTGTCTGCAGTGACAGGGCTCTGTGCCTCCCCTTTGCAATGTTATGTTGTCTTTTTCGGCATAAGATTTTTTAGCTTTTGTGCCATTTTCCAATTCTTTATCCAGGTGGTAAGAGACTATTTTCCTTGCACAGACTCCATATCATCAGTGCAATGATAATAACAATAAGTAACAATTTGTCATTTGTGTCATTTTAATTTTTTTTCATAATATTCAGTTTTTTGTATTACAACCTGCACTACCAGTCATGGTGGACAGGAATAAGATCCTGAACATGGCTCACGAACACTATTCCAGACTCATTTATGGATTGATGGTAATGCAAAAGCACCTCCTGAAATGCCAACTGAGTCTATTCACCCCCAAGAGCTTTGTGCAATTGTGGCGAGTCTCCCATCACTCTAGCCTTCAGCTGAAACGCTCATGACGACAAGATTGTGTCCCACATTTGCCCATGACGGCATGTTCACGTCACTTGCCCCTCAAGCTAAATTTTTTCATGACGTGATGGTCACATCATCCGGATCGTATGGGTTAAGCGAAGATTGCCAAATGTTTAGGGTTGAAAGAGAAAGTATTACAGCATTGTGTTTTATTATCTTTTGGTTAGAGAGTATACAAGTGATAATTATATAACAGCAGATTTTGATACAAAAGTGCATAGATAAAGATTAATACATATTTTAGGGTTAGTGGATAAAGAACTTTGGTAATTCAGCAAATTCAGTTCCCCAGAGAAAAAGTTCAGTGTAGCTTTTCTTTCAGTTTCAATGGAAGTAAATATTGATAATTATTTATTTTAGTTCATTGATTTAATTTCTGTCTTAAACAATATTTTGAAAGGCGTATGATACTGAAGTTACTGATGTTTTTATAGGCTAGGTAGTTATGTAGGTTCCTTTAAAAGCTATTTTGCATGAAACATGCAGTAAATGCTTTGATGCAGTTTTGTTTAACCCTTAAGTGTTGTATTGCAACAATACCTTGATGTTTGAATGATGTATATGGCATCTTTGTTTTGCAGTCTTATCGGAACAGCCAGTATTCCAGAAGTTTTGTTTAACCCTTAATCCCCTGTTATGGTATATGGTATATCAGTGAATTAAACAATCATTGATATCTACTTTAATGCAATTTTACCAAAAAAATATACATGTTTTATTTTATCTACTGATTAAAATCTACATTATGAGACATAAAGACATCATAATAAATTTCTGGTATCCTATTGGATGTGGACATTCTTTAGCTGACCTGTTAACCGAGGATGCCTAAAGGATAAAGAGTTAATGGCTCACCACTGAGCATCCCAGGGCACCACCCTTACCCCCTGCCTTCTACCCTCCGCAACCCTTACCCACCCCCCCCCTGTTCCTCCCTCCCTACCTTCCTTTTTATGGTGCCGTCTGGTAGTCATTAGCATGCTTTCCTGTGTGCTGGCTGTTCAGAAGAAAACAACTATGGCATGTATGACATTCACACATCCTGAGTCTTGTCACACATTAGACAACCTTTAGCCGACAGATTTATGAATGATGCTTAGAGTAGAATTATGGATAAAGAGAAATTTTTTTCTTCATTTGTTCTGTCATTATCAGAATGAGAAAGAAGAAAAAAAAGAGTTTGAGGACCTTCATCTTGTGCGTTTGAATAAGGAGGAGGTATGCACTTTAAGGGTTAATAATCCAAGAGTTTTAGATGTTTTAGATGATGAACTGAGGTATGTTAAATGCTCCTATATCATTCACTGAACCTTAAGATAACTGGAATATTAGTTGATGGATGATATTAGATAATACAGAAAGTACTGGATGCATTTTTTAAAGGTATGTTAGGGTTTCTTGTAGCATAATAGATATCTCTTATGTATTTCTTTTATGTATTTGTTTGTTGCAGATTATATGATATACATAAATGTAAACACTTGCATTTTACATAAGAATTTACATGGATGCATTACTGCTTCCCTCAGCTGCTGTTTTGTATGGGAAGGTAAAGGCTTGTCATGTCATGGATGTTGTTTCTTTATGTTGCATAATAGCATAGTTTTAATCTAAATGTTTGCCTTTTTTGGGTTCTTTGTACTTATTTTTCCTTTTTCCTTTTTTTTCTTATTATCTTTTCTTTTATGTGCTTTTTCTTTCTGTAGTCTTGTCTTTTGTATGCTATTTGCTCCTGTATCTTTTTCTTTGATTTATTAAAAGAAGAGAAAGTATGAATACAGTAATCGTTGCTTAAAAGCGATTGCATTATAGTTAGAAACTCCCAGACGTTGGCTGCCCGTCAACCTCTGTAGCCCTGGAGAAAGGGAAATTAATTGCTTATTTTATTCCTTTGTCCTACACTGATTTATTCAATATTCTATCATACAATAATGGTTGAGGTGTAACTGTATGACTCATTCTTTTAATTTCCTGGAAATTATTAGGAATAAAGTGTAATAATGGGAATGTTTTATTTTTAACCCATTGTCGCCGGGAAAAATGAACAAAAAATGGGGGGAAATGCAGTACTCATTTTTTTTATTTTTGTGAAATATCTCTGTCCATAGATGGCTCTGCTAGTCCTGATTTCACCTTTCCTTGAATTGGCGGGAAAAAACGTATTTTTACTAGTGCTATAAATATAGATGGTGTTATTTTTAATAGCAAATTAGGATAACGTTAAATATTTTCGTAAATTGATGAGAAGGGTGAATGGGCGAGACAGGCAGTACTCGTAATTGGCTCATTGGATACTTAGTACAAGTGAAGCCATCTATGTGTAAAAACAATCGAACAAGTCGACTCACAGTGGGCATGGCATGTACGTACATGCCATCCCCGGCGGCAATGGG